TTTTTTTTTTAAAAAAACCCTAAACTAATCCAGCCACCCCTATCCCCACCGCTGGCTGGGCGGCGCCAGTCAATGTTGTACCCAACAACCTTCGTTCCCAGACCTAGCAACCGCATACTCTGCCTCCTCCCTTTCCCCTTCCCCAAAACCGACTAAACCACCCCAATGGCCGCTTACGGTTGCTTAAAACAGGCGGCCGTTTTGCAGACCACTCATAAATGACAACCAATCCAATTAGGACTCTAAGGGTCAAAAACGACCGGTTTATAGTCGAAACCGACCACTTAGGCCCTAAACCGGTCATTTCTGACCCTTAGTTATCGCTTATGGTGGTTATTTCTAGGTGGTTTGAAAAACCGGTGACAACCACCCGTTTTTGGTGGTAATTGAGGTAGGGTCAAAATTGGCCAGTTAAGGGTCAAGGAAAGGGGGGGGGGTTGATATTGTAGTGGATGGGCTGAGAAAGGGGGTGTTAGAGTGGGGTATGCGGTGATGTGGGCTGCCGGCGATGGCAGAGTGGGTGGCTGTTTAAGTTTTAGGGTTTTTGTTTTGTTTTTTTAAAATATTTAATTCTTCTTTTTTGTAAACTAATAATATGGTAACACGTGGCACAATGGACCCCACTTGATGGATTTTGGGACGGAAAACAGGTAAGTGGTGGTAATATCCAATTTTGTGATTTTTTTTGTGAAGTTAAAATAAAAGGGTTATTTTTTTAATTTTTTTTTATTTGTAGTGTTAAAAAACCATTTTTCAGTTTTTTTGTGGTCTTAATATCTAAAATTTCTTTAATTTTATAAGTAATATGAGAATTTCATATTTTCGTAGTCATTATTTTTTACAACTCCAACTAAAGGTGGATATCATGCTGTGTTGGGCCACCGCGAGTCGTGCCTGCTTTATGGAGGGTTGTGTCGTTCCGTGTCACCTTTTGGCACACCCTAGCACAAGGCACGACTTGACCCATGTGCCTGGGAGGTTGTGTCGTGCCGGGCATCAGGCCGCCCTGATTTTTCCAATTTTAATTTATTTTTTTAATTAAAAAAAACGATACATACTTTTTTTGGAACAAATTTAAAAATGAGTAAATTTGAATAATTTCATTAATTTATGATCATGTTTTTGTATTATTATATTACTCCATATTATTTAGCAAAAAGCAACAATGCATATAATTAATAAACTTACGAGTGCGGTGAGCCGATAACTTAAAATTTGATGAATAACTTATTTTATTTTATACCGGTACGATAAATCGATAATACAATAATTTATAATGATAATTAAAAATCATACAATAATTGGTGACTAACTTATTTTTATAGCTTATTTTATTATACGGAGTACGGGGTTCAATAATACAAAAATTATACAACAACTTTGCACGGGCCGTGCCGGCGGGCCATGCCACGGGCCGAGTGATCGTGCCTCCCGCCAGGTTCATGCCGTGCCTATTTTTCAAAAATTTGTTCACGGCACGGCCATGAGTGGGCCATCGTGCCGGGTCATGCCTCTGGCTGGCTTGTGCCGCCCGCGTGTCGGCACGGTCCATGCCACCTCTAACTCCAACTTATATTTAAATATAATCTCAAATTTTAACTCATTCAAAAGTTTACATATATCAAGTAGTTAAACATTCATCCAAGAACAAAAAACTACAAAGTATTATGCTATTAAGTAGATAAAGTAAATTTCCTAAAAAAAAAAAGAAGATAAGTAATAAAAAATTCTTAGGAAAAAGGTTGTATTATCAGTTTGTTAAAACAAAGTAACATATTTTTACAAGAAATTAATTCAATTATATATAAGAGTTTAGATTACTTAAATTAAACACCGAGTTTTTAGAAACATATACATAAATTTGAATTCAAGTAAAAAAAAAAAAAAAGGTGAAAACATTTCATGTTAAAGCTAGGTCTAGTCAAAGTTAAGTGAGGAAAAAGAGATAGATAGCATTTGCTTATGCTATGAGTAGCTTGAGGTCAGGTAAAGTGAAAAACAAGCCAGGATCAGAGAAAACCGAATTAAGACTAATTGTGGGCTAATTCATGGTAAGTTTCTTCTTGAGTGCAAATCGGGTTAAAATTAAGATTATTGGGTCTAATCAATTCCCAGTAGCTTAGGAGTCAAATAGTATACTAACAAATAACGTTGAATTAAGACTAAATGTGGGCTAATTCATGGTTAGTTTTGGAGCAAACTTCTTGGGTAAAATCAATTTGGGTTCAATTTAGTATAGAGTATCTCCAATTATTATTATTATTAAATATTATTTAATTATTATATTTATTATTATTATTAAAAATTGATAATTATTATTAAAAATTAAGTATTTTATTAAAAATAAATAATTAGTATTATCTATAAATAATAATTTTTATTATAAAAAATCATTTATTATTTTTGATATTTTTAATATTATCAATAATAAGTATTATTATTACTTTAATTATTATTATTTTTTTGAGAAAATGTTATTATCATTATTATTGTTAATATTATTATTAAATATTATAAATTATATTTAATATTATAATTATTAAATAATATTTATTTATTATAATTATGTTAAATATTTATTACTATTATAATAATTCAATATTAATTATTTATAATTATTATTATTATTATTAAATATTAATTTTAATAAAATTAATATTATTAGATATTGTTTATTTATTATTATTATTAAATATTTAATTTTCATAATATAATTATTATTTAATAACAATCATTTATTATTGTTATTATAAAATATTATTAATATTATTATTAAATAATAAATATTTATTATTATGATTATTATTATTATTAAATATTAATTATTATTACTATTATTATTATTATTATTATTATTATTATTATTATTATTATTATTATAGTTCAATATTAATTATTTTTAAATGTTATTTATTATTATTATTATTATTATTATTATTATTATTATTATTATAAGGAAAAATTGATTCTAATAATCCCACCTTTGACCGGTTCGCTATTAATAATCCCACCTTTGGATTATTATCTAATAATCCCACCTTTATAAGACATCTTCTTTTATTGGTCCCAAACCTGTTGGTAACCTGTTTTGATAGGTTAAAATGCTATGTGTCACTTTGTGATTGGTTGAATTTCTTAAAAATATAAAAAATTAAAAAAACTACAAAAATAAAAACAGAAAACAAGTCCACACACCAACCCCAGCCACCACTCCCCATCCTCCGGCAGCCCCTCATCCACACCTACACCGCCGGAACCCCATCCCTATCACCACCTAGCGAAACCCAGCCCACCTTTCCCTTTAAAAAAAAAATTAGATTTATACTAAAATCTAATCCGAAAAATGTAAAGTTCCATTGTAGTTGTTATAATTTGAGTTTTATATTGTTCTTCTTCATTTGTTTTCACACTGATTTCCAAACTCTTATATCTACTCATTTTTAATTATTTCACTGTACTATTATATATATTCCATTGCTTCAAAAAAAAAAGTGTATATATTTCATACAGCCCAAAATTCTGAAAATTAGTAGAAAAATCTTTGAATTTCAACTCAAATTACAATTTCAATTGAGCTTTTTGAGCTCCATTAATGGCGGGTTCAATGATTGAGTTAACCGAATCCATGTTCAATCTATTCTCATTCATTTGGAGCTATTCGACATTGCGGAAGGGAAGATGGATGGTTTTCTATGTGGGAAAAGGGTAGAGGGCTGTTTTCGTGGGTGGGGGTGGAAATCAGGGTGGTTTTAAGGGAAAGGGGTCGGTTTTTGCTAGGTGAGTGCAGAGGAGGGGCTGCCGGAGGAGTGGTGTTACGGTGGTCGTGGGGGGTTGGGGGCTGTGGGGATGTTCCAGTTGTTTTCAATTTATTTTAGGTTTTCTTTTTTTTTTTTTTTTTATAAAAAAAAAAATTGTTGATTAAATACTTAGTGACATATGTTAGTTAAATAGAAAACAAAAGAGTTTACCCAACGTACAGGTTACCGGTCATAAGGGACCGATAGAAGAAGATGAACTATAAATGTGAGATTATTAAATAATAATAAAAAGGTGGGATTATTAATAGCAAACCGGGCAAAGCTGAGATTATTAGAATCAATTTTTTCTTATTATAATTCAATATTAAGTATTATTTTTAACAAAGAAGAGCAGAGCAGAGCAGGCAGAGCAGATTTTAGCCCCGTTCTTTAGAGCTACTCTACTCACTGTTGAAATTTACTCTATTCTACTCTACTCTGCTTCAATCTACTCTGATTTGCATTGCTCTACTCTGCTCTACTTAAAAACAATACTTAATATTCAATTATTATAATAATTAATATTTAATAATAATAATAAATAATTAATATTATTAATAATGATAATCTTAAAAATTAATATTTAATAATAAAAATAATAAATAATTAATATTTAATAATAATAATAAATAAATAAATAATATTTAATAATTATAATATTATTAAAAATTAATATTTAATAATAATAATAAATATATAAATAAATAATATTTAATCATTATAATATTATTAAAAATTAATATTTAATATTTAATAATAATAATAAATAATTTATATTTTATAATTTAAATAATAATAATATAAATAATAAATAATTAATATTTAATAATTATAGTATTAATAATAATTAGTATTTAATGATTTTATTATTATTATTATTAATAATTAATATTTAACAGTAATAACAATAATAATAATAATTTGCTCTACTCTAAGGAAATCTACTCTGCCTAGAAGCTCAAGAGAATAGGACTTTAAGAGTAAGTAAATTACAATTGTGACAATAAACAGGGTAACACTCCCCCCTAATTACCCCCAAATCAACAAATCTAGAACCCCAGTTTACTAGGGATTTGAAGTTGGACAAGCAAAGCAGCATAAAATCCGCTACAAATTTCAAAAATTAAATACAACTCCGTAGTTCTTGCTTCCTTTCTTCCTTCCATCAAATGTCTTCCAATTCTTTCTCACTCTACTGTAAGTCATACTACAAACTACCATTGAACTCATCAATCTTTTTTTGATTTTTTTTTATACCCAATTAAATATTGAATAAAAAACCCAATTTGTAATTTTTTCTACTCTTTCAACTAAGACTATTCCTTAATATTCTAGGGTTTCAAAATTTGGTAAATAATTCTTTAATTTTTGAGCCCCTCATCTTGTTCTTCCCCAAAAACCAAGTTCTTTACTTTCTGTTTTAAATTCCAAGCGCACGTTTTTCCTAATTCACGTTCTTAGTTGCAGAATTAGTCTCTGAAATTTGGATTTATTTGGGTTAATTTTTTTTGGGGTTGATTTTTGTTGTTCATCATTTTTGTTTTGAAGGGATTATTAGGAGAAAATTATCAATTGGGGAGTTTGTTTCTGTATTTGATTCTTGCAGAAAAGTTGCTGATTCTTGTAAATCATCTTTCCATTTCTGGTATGAAATGCTTTTCTTTTTAAGCTAGATTATGCTGATTCTTTGATTACCCATTTGGGATTTTAAGTAGCTTCAATTCTTGTTTTTGTATTTTGTAATTCATGCTTTGTTTGTTGTTGATTTTGTTTGTTTTGGGTGTTTATTTTCACAGTTCGTGTTCTTGAATACTGTGTGTTTGGTTTGAAGATGTGGAAATAGAATTAATCAGTATATGGTGTAACTGTGTAAACGATGGGTTGTGTTTATGGTAAATGTTGTAAGCGACATCACGCTAAAGGGAAGGAGAATGGTTGTTTATATGGCCAATCTGGGGTCCAAGGAAGGCCGGTTTTTGCTGAGAGATCATTAGATTCTATCTCTGTGCCTTCACACAATTTCTGTTTGGAGTATTCGGTCCTTACGCAACGAGGGTACTATCCCGATTCACCTGAGAAAGAAAATCAGGATTGTTATTGCATTAGGACACGATTGTGTGGCAATTCGAATATTCATTTCTTTGGAGTGTTTGATGGACATGGTCAATTTGGTGCTCAATGTTCTAATTTTGCGAAGGATAGATTGGTAGAGATCTTGTCTAATGATTCCTCTTTGTTAAAAGATCCTATAAAAGCTTATAATGATGCCTTTCTTAGGACGAATGAGGAATTACACAACAGTGACATAGATGATGCAATGAGTGGTACAACAGCAATTACTGCTCTTGTTATTGGGAATACACTTTATGTTGCCAATGTGGGCGATTCTAGAGCCGTGATTGCTCTTAAGAAGGGAAATCAGATAATTGCGCAAGATCTATCTCGTGATCAGACTCCATTTAGGCAAGATGAATATGAGAGGGTGAAGTTATGTGGGGCTAGAGTTTTGAGTGTTGATCAAGTGGAGGGTTTGAAGGATCCAACTGTACAAACATGGGGTGATGAGGAGACTGAAGGCAGTGATCCTCCTAGATTGTGGGTTGAGAATGGAATGTATCCTGGCACAGCTTTCACAAGGAGTGTTGGGGATAGCACAGCTGAAAATATAGGTGTTATAGCTGCTCCAGAGGTATCAGTGGTTCAACTTACACCAGATCACTTGTTCTTTGTTATTGCAAGTGATGGTGTCTTTGAGTTCCTACCAAGCCAGGCAGTTGTTGATTTGGTATGTCATTCCAGTTAAAATGGAATATTTGCTATCTTCTTATTAATCTTATGCATATGCATCTTTCTGTTGCTTCCAGCAGATATCATTCTCTTTGGTTGGTCTGAAAATTTTCTGCATTGAGTATGCTTCTTTTGTATTATAACTATTTTGAAATAAAAGCAGCTTTTTTCTCAAAGTGTTACAAATTTCTTTTTTGGTGCTGTAATGCAGTATCACATTGCAACATGTGACAGGACATTATAACTGTTTTAATTTTGGTCTTTGTAGCTTCTGAGACCAACAGTACAGACTAAGCCATAATGAGTAAGATAGTTTGAGCGTAGATGCTCCAAAGATTGAAACTTTTTTAATGGTTAACATCACATAGCTATTCGGTTCTTTTTAAAAGTTCTCTGTAAATTGCTACTTAAATGTTTTGTTATGAACAATTGAAAAACTTTTCAATGCTACCACAAATGGCAGCGTCTGCCTTTGATGTATGTTATTTTAAAGCAATGGCATTTGGATTTCTCAGTAACATCATCATTTACAATGTGCTATGCTGAGAAAAGGAAAACATGCTTGTGTACTATTATATTGTGATCTGATGCCTGTAATTTTCTTAGCTATATGTGATCACAGTAGAGATTTTCATTGAATGAAATTGAAATTAATTTATAGCAATTTCCATTTCTTTCTTCATAACTCCCTTTTGCTTGTAACTATTATAATCTTGGGCTAGCCCAAGGGTCCTTTGTTTGTTATGTGCATCTAATACTGTTTTCAATTTTCGTGTTGTGTGATTAGGTTTCCAGTAATCAAGATCCTCGAGATGCATGTTCTGAAATAGTAGGAGAATCATATAAACTCTGGTTAACTCATGAAAGTCGTACTGATGATATTACGATCATCATTGTGCACATCAAAGGTCTTTCTAATGTATGTATTGCCTTAAAACTTTTTTTTAATGACCTTTTCATTTGGATCACTAGCTGTTCAGATGTTTTAAAATCATGATCTTTATCACATACTTAATCAAACTATAATGACATTGGAGTACTAAAACGGCCTCTAATGTCATTCTAATATAATGTATACGTTTGTACATATTTATTCAAAATCTTGCTAGACATTGATCTTTTTTGTCACTGAACTTGTTGTACACTATCGTCCAGATTGATTTGGCTTGTTTTTCTATATTTCTCTTTTTGCTTCATGATTCTTTGGAGTGTATTGGTCTTGCATGAGTAGGCATCATAGGTTTTATTTTGGTGTTTTCAAACTAAAATTAAATCTCAAGATCCTAGAAAATTCAAGAGGTTTTGTCACATTTCATCATTATCTAGTTTACGAAGGTGATGAAGCTAGAAAAATTAGTTACACTTTCTATTTATCCCCAAATGTAGCAACTCTTTTACTAAAAGCTAACTAAAACTATGAATTCCATATCAAAATATAATGCACCTCTGATAGTGCTGTCCCCAATTACTTGCAACACTTCTATGAAATGAAATGACTCATTTTTGTATATATTAATTCATTTCCTCCCTCCAATAGTAAATAGCTCAATACCGACTAAGTATAATATGTCCTCTCTCTCTCTTTTTTTTTTTTTTTTTTTTTTTTTTTTTTTTTTTTTTTTTTTTTTTAAGGTTGTACCTTATTAACTTACATTTGACTTTGACTTCAAATACGAATTAATATTAATTATGTATAAGTATACTTCATAAAAAGTTGATATTCTGAAATACTTATTGATACGAAATTAGTAAGATTACCCATGACTATATTTGTTTAGTTATATAAATAAATAAAATAATCAAATGATAGTGCAAAAAGGCAATGGTATAACTAAAATATAGAGGAAGTCAATAAATTACCAATCACCACAAAACACAATACGAACCAAATTACCTAAAACCATGCAATGGTAAAGTAGGGGCAACTAATTTGGAACAGGATACTGTTTTATTTTTTTATTTTTTTTTTCCCTGAAAGGGACAGGATCTAGGTTAGAAGAACTAGTTTATTTATTTTTCATCACTTTTTACTTTTGCACTCCAGTTTTGACTTTGGGCTCTTTTGTGTTGAGTTCAAATCTAATTTGAACTCTTTAAATTCTAATTCAAGTCCATTCTGAACAGTTATTTAATTGCAGCTTGATTAGCACTCTACTTTGTCTGATTAAACTCGAAGTGTGGTAATTTTGTGAAACTTGAGATCTTTGGGAAAAGAAAAAAATATTGAGTTTTGGATAGTGGGCAATTTATTTTTGTGATTGTGTAAGGGTGATGGAATTGGAGGGAAGAAGTTGGAAAGGGTGGTAGGTTCTGTCTTAGAGTTGGATAAAGTCCAGTTAGTCTAAAGTAGCTGCCAATATGTGCATACAGTTTGCCAGATTTGAGTTAACTGCAGCCACATAGCTTCAAATAGAATCTTGAAAACAGAACTAAAGCTTAGTGCCATTAACTGTCATTCAAATGATGCAGCATTTGAGTTTTTGTTAATTTTGGTAATTATGTCTTCTTATTATGTATCAGTACGAAACTAAGAATACTGATGGGATGAACTAAGCATTTTCATCTGGGGTTATGGCTCTGTTAATAGAAACAAAACAGTCGTGTAACTCTACAGATGATGCTGCTGGTGAAAAGGGACTCGACACACTTATGTTATTTAGCACTGCTTATGCATATTTGCATGACCGTGCTGTATTTACAATTTGTAGCTGTCGATCCACTGCAGCTTAGCTGCTGCAGAAGAGGGGTTATACTGCCAATTGCTCCAAAATCTCTCTGTTTGCTCTGTGTTGATGGTTTTCTGATTCCTAAGCAAGTATAGGCATGTATCCGTAGCAACGTTTATCAGTTGATAAGTAAGAGGATGCCATTGATTGGAAATGATCCTATATATGTCATTTGCACTTAGTTTTCATGAAGAGAACTGCATGGGAGGGATGCTTTCTCATCAATTAGGGAAGAGAGGGGGGGCTTACACCTGCTTACTGTAAATAGGTTGCATTTAAAGTTTTAAACTCTTTCTTAAAAAATGTGAGTTTCTTTACATTTTTGTTGTATTTATTACAGTCGAATGCAGGGCTCACTGGTCAAGTGAGTAAGGGAGATGCAAAACCACCTTCAGCGAGGATGAAAAATGCTGCTTCTGACTTATCTGATACTACCAGATCTGACTTAAACCCTTCAGAAAGAAATAGTCCCTCAGATCAGCAGCCTTGTCGACCTATAATTTCTGTTGATCAAAGTGCTGTTACTCTGTCTCCATCGTATTCTCAGCCAGCATGATGATTGAGGTCTGTCTACATCTTTTAAGCAAGACTCTTATTTATTGCAATTGGAAGATGCAAATGATTTTCTGTGTCTCTTCGTGACAGTTGCTTGGCTTGGATTAATTTTAAGAAGCACTGCATCATTTTTGCTGATCTCCTCGTGAAATGGTAGGGCCCTTGATTCATGCTGTTTGCTTTATCAAATATCCATGCCTTTGATTATGCTAGTTAATATATAAGCAGCATGTAGTGCTCTTCATTGTTGTTAGTGGTGTAACATGCTTTATGACAAAAACTCTATCATTTTATGTTGGTTTTCTAATAGGAAGTAATATTTTCTTTTTCACAAGCATCCTGATTGTAGTGAGGACATGGTCCAACTCATCCAATCGAGATAATTAAAACTCAGAAGCACTTATCAGCTAATTTCAATTAACACAAATGATATAGTTATTCTATTCAAAAAAAAAAAAAAAATTGATATAGTTATTCTTTTTCGTCTTTTATTAATTTTATTTTATATTTTATAAAGTTTTAGACTATTAGTCAGTCATGTTTTGTAACAGTTTAGCACAATAAGAATCTCATATGTAATTCTATTTGTCAGACTAATGGAAGTTGTTGAATGCATGCTACGGACCAGAAGAAGCGGGAATTTCTGTCCAAAAATAATCTGTTGGCCTGCTGATGTTTGCTTCTTAGCTTTTTTGGGAGCGAATTACCCCCTTTTTTGAAGTATGATCTTAGAAGTAAATAAGATGAGAGTTTGCGGGTGATTTGCCTTCATGTGTTTTTCTCTGTCATCTGCAACATACGCTTCTCAGTTTTATGTCTTCTCAGATTAACATTTGCCAACGATAGCTACAGATGAACAACACTTCAGCATAGTGAGACTCTGGGATCTAACTGCTGACTGTATCAATGTATTTGAAAGAAAATTACGTTTGACAACCATGACTTTAGTTCAAATTTTGAATGATTCTATTTGTGAATCATTGATTACTGAATAACATACTGTTAATTCATGGTTATGATTAATGATTCTTATTGTATATCTCCCTGTACAATTATCAATTTGAGTAGTTTGCTGGCATATTCTTTAGTTATTCAGTTATTGTCAATACAATTAGAATCTACTATCAATAACTTATATACTAAAAGACACACCAGCAGTGACACTTGTTATTTCCTGGTGTGTCTTTAGTTATATTTTTTTTTATAAAAATTTTTGATTAAGAAAATCAATTTGTTTATAAAAATAACATTATTTTATATACATATTCTATATTAATAGGTAGTAATTATAATATTTAAAATAAAAAGATTTCACAAATGTTTCTAAAATATAAACCAAAAATCATACTCGAAATAATTTGTGACCTATCCTATAGCAAGAAAATATAAAGCTTTGATTTTTTACCTACTTTTGTTTTATTTGTGTATTAGAAGCTACAATTAAAAAAATCCACATATCACATACTTTTATTATTTCTTGACTAATTTATAATAAAATACGTATCCATTAATAATCTATAATTATATATAACTGTAGATCACCGTGCATTGCACGAGAGCTAATCTAGTACATAAGCTAACGGGAGGTTGTGGTGTCCCCCTAAAATAACCTCAATCTCAATTTTCATTTAGCTCTATTGAGTTGAGACATTTTGGACAACTAGTTGTCCCAGGGCGCGCGATTGACCAATATTGAAAATATCGGGAGTTGATATTGTTCATCGGATTTCTCGGTTACAGCTTTATTTCGGTATTGTATTTTTGGGAAGAGAATGATAGATTTTAGTTTTTGTAAAGTTGAGTTGAATATGGAAAATATTGAAATGATTTAAGTTCAATATGGAAAATATCGGGTGTCGATATTTTTGGTTTGTTCTTTATAAGCAATAGTATAGTGAACATGTAGTGCCTTGTCTATCTTCCTTAACTCGTTGGCTTTGCGTTTGGTCGGTGTAACCAGAGGAATTGAAAAATTAGCTCTCGGTTTCCGGACTGAAGCCGTCTCATTTCGTTGGTGGTCAACAACCTAATACACCGACTTTATTATGGTAGAATCTATTTATTTACCTGCTTTTAGGATATCCGAAGCCTTTTAGAAGATAGAACAAGGACAAGGCATCAAATTAGTAGCACATTTAACATAAATTTTTATGATAGAACAAGGACAAGACATCTAATTAGAAGACTCATAGTTCCCGCAATCATAAAACTAATTAAGACATTATTTTATAGAATGTAAACAAAGCATAACCATGCTACATAATCCAATCCAAATACATAAAGTTAAACACGCAAAATCTAAACGCTTACAACATAATCCGTCCAATCCCAATCAATTGCATTTTCAGATTTCCTACATGAATAAAAGTCTACAAAGTGATAATTATATGGTATTCAAATTATCACATCATGCAAGCAATTAAACTTAAACATACGAATTTTTTGAAAAATAATAATAATAATCTCGAGAGAGAGAGAGAGAGAGAGTTGTGAAAAATAATAATAAACCCTTAACTCTGTTATTTCTTTATTTTGAAAAATAATAATAAACCCTTAACTTATAATAGAAATCCTATTTCACCTTAATGTTTTATAACTTTTAATATGGATATTTTCAATACTGTTCATCGTACTTCTTGATTTTTTATTCAGCTCAACTTTACATAAACTAAAATCATTTATTTCCCAAAAATACATATTAAATTTTTAAGATTTTTAATTAATACATTGAAGTATTATTTTCATAAGTTGTCCTTATTAACTTCTACTTTTACATCTATTAATTAGTGTTTTGACATCAAATTAATTTAAGGGATTATTTGTTGTCAAAATGAGAAATAAGCTGACTGTCATGACAACTTTCTTCATCTGATGAGTAGCGCAAATGAGGCAAATCTTCATCTGGGAGTAGCGTAAATGAGGCAAGATTAATAGTAGGGACTTAGGTGAAGATATTGACAACCTTGACAAGGATGTATTTAGATGACTTGTTCTTATTCCATTTTCTAAAAACCTTGAAAAATATAGGTGTATGACTATTAGAATTATAGTGTCTGTTTATTGATAACGGTTTAAAAGTAGATAACAATGATAAACATAGATGCAAAACTTAATAGAGATAATTTGTAAGAGTAGTATGATTAAGATTTTGAAATTATAATTTATGATTAGAATAAATTGTTTGTTTCAAGTTGGTTAACAATTTAGTTTAAAAAGTTTTGTTTAATGTTGAATTCTTATTAATATAGTGAGATTATTGAAGTATTGGTAAGCATATTTAAGTATTAAGGTAATTTTATTTTTTAAGTATTGAATAAAGCTAAAGAAATCATATAATGCAAGAACTTACAACTTTTATATTTTTATCAACTATATAAATTACAGTGCAATATAATATAATTATCACTTCGAAAAAGCAACCTTTATCTTATATACGATAATACCAGCCACCACGTCCTTATCTATGCAATAAGGATCTCACCCTTCAAGACGGATTCATGAACGGTCAATCTACTTAATGGAAGTTTCATTGCTGAATGACTTGTCTGCTCGACAATATAATCCAAAGATGAGGTAAGGTCGCTAACCTTTTTTTGTCGGGGTCGTAATGAAAAGTTTTTTCGTATATAAAGCTATTTCTTTTTACCTCATTCACTACTTTATGTTTTTATATCTCTTAATCATTTATCTTTATATCTCTCTTTCTCTCCCTATGGTTGTACAAACATTAAAAAAGTATATACTCATGAATCTAACATGATTTAACCATAATATTGAACTTTTATGTTAAATGTGCTACTAAATAGATGACTTATCCTTGATCCATATTCTAAAAGGCTTTGAAGATTTTAAAAAGCTTTGAGGGTTTAGTTTTTTGATACTTTAGGAGAGGAAAAATTATAAAAAGTGATACATTAGGAGATAAAGATAAACCGAGAGATATAAAGGGGCAATGTGTATATGTTTTTATGATTAGCTTTGTGAATGTAATATGTTCTCCCAAACTATAATCATGCGGTTTTTAATTATTAATGTGTCAAATGTAATTAGTAGTGTAGGAAGGGTATAAATTTGCATTAATCTAGTAGTGAAATTAAACTTATGTAATATGTAGATATGTTTAGAGTTAAAAGATATCAAAAAAATTTAGAGTTATTTAATTTTGTAACTTAGATTGATTGAGTAAATTACAGATCTTTTTTTTTTTTTTTTTTAAGTGAATATCCAATCAGTGAAAAAAAGATATTTTTTTCACTTTCTCTTGTCTCAATAAAGGGAGTACATAATTAGTGACTTTGTATACTAATAAGGGCGTTGTTCCTCAATCCTAGAGATCATTATAATCATCATTGTGAAATATGAGTGATCCACGCTTGCTTTAATTCAATGGTAGAACAAGCTCAAAAGTCGCTTCCATGGAGAGAAAAAGTTTGGTTCAGAGGAGAGAGAAAGGTTATTGCATAAATTAATGTTGGAGTCGGTAAGAGTTGAAAGCAAGGGTTACGGAGTAGAAATTATTGTTGGAAAATGTAAAAATAATAATTTAGTAATCATATCAATCAAAATGCCTTATAGATGATTGAGTAATTAGAAGGCCATAAACTAAACAACAATTATTTGTAATGTTATGTGTAATGCTTTGATGTTATGTCTTGAATAAGGTTGATGATGTCAATTATAATCAGTTTGTGTTTAATAAGTGTTAAGTTTTCTTAAAATCGTTAGTTGAGGTTTATATGTCTTCTATTGCTAAATTAATGGAAGGAGTAATACTCTACTACTAATAATTATAATATTGGTAATAGTGAAAAGAATAATAATAATTAGTATAATAATAATGTTTAATGTATAATCAATTGTTTAGAGTGGATTAAATAAACTAATGTTAATAATAAAGTCAATTTATGTTAGCTTCCCCTTATCCTTTTATCCTTTGTCTTAACAAAATCTCCTATCTCTTCTTCCCTCATTGTTGTTGGTGTATTCTTTATTTTCCTAAACTAATTGCCCTATTTTCCTTAAATGATCTTTCTTAATTGGTCTTTCTCGGTCTATTGCTAATTTCTCTAATTACCTTGAGTCATCTTTCTCAAGTGGCCTCTCTCTCTCTCTTTCTCTCTCTCTCTCATTTTAGTAAGTCTTTTCCTAAGCTAATTGCCCTAATTTCTTAAGTGAACTTTCTCTCTCTATTCTACGTTAATTTCCTTTATTTATTTTTTTTTAATGTGATCTTTCTTAATTGGCCTTTCATCTTTCCAAAGCCAATTGATCCTATTTTTATGAATGATTTTTCTTAAGTAACTTCTCACTCTTTTTCTCTCTTAAGATAATTGCCATGATTTTGTTAAGTAGTCTTTCTTGTGTGGTCTCTTTTTTCTCTCTTACATTTTAGCAAGCCTTTTTCCTAAGCTAATTGCCCTAAATTACTTAGGTGATCTCTCTTAAGTGGTATCTCTCACTCACTCTTTCTTAATCTCCCTTTACTAAGCTAATTGCCTTAATTTTTCTTCTAAGCTAATTACCTTGATTTTGCTAAGTGATTTTTTTTCTTATGTGTCTTTTCTTAAGTGCCTTTTCTTAAGAGATCTTTCTTTTCTTTAGTCATCTTTCTTCTTGAGTGATCTTCTTTTTATTAAGTGATTTTTATTCCTAAGCGATATTTTTCAAGCGCTCTCTCTTCTTCTTTCTAGCATTTTAGTAACTCTTTTTCCAAAGTTAACTTTTCTTATTTTCTTAAACGATATTTTTCTAAGTGGTCTCCGATCCCTCTTTATGTTAAGTGATCTTTCTTGGCCCTTCTCACTCAGTTTCTTCCAACCCATCTATTTCTCGATTCCTTTCTCTCCTTCTATCTCTCCCCCTTTATCTTTATATTTCTCTTTCTCTTCCTATATATGGTTGTACAAACAGAAATAAAAGTACATACTCATGAATCTAACATGATTCTACCATAATGGTGAACTATTATGTTAAATGTGCTACTAATTAGATGACTTGTCCTTGTTCCATCTTCTAAAAGGATTTGAATATTCTAAAA